GCTCTAGGCCCATTCTTACAGGGTTGGATCGAGCTAGTTCTTATTTTAGAACAAACCCACTGGAGTGGAATCTTCCCAGAGCCAAGGGGAGGTAAACAAAGGGGCCTCCAGGACCTACTCACAGCTCTTGTTTAAATTAAGAGAAAAACATGTTTTGCTCCCCTCAGCGTGGGCTTGGCGCCTTTCATGTCTGTCCTCCCGAGGAAGGCGGCCGGGAGCCCTTGAGGTGAGGAATGATGTTTGGGTCTGTGGCTGGGGGGCTCAGGATTGCCAAACCACTGCACTGGCTGCAGAAGAGCTGTAAGGAGCTCCTGAGGAGGGCTGGCCTCGGGGAAGCACGGGTGGGGGCTTGGCACTGCCCCTGTCACTGGCCTCTGAGTCACCAGCACAAGCTGGGGCTTTGGGGCCTAGCTTCGGCAGCAAGAGCTGAGCCCCACTTCTGCAGAGGAGCCAGGGGTAGCCCTGGGTTGTGGTGACAGCCTCAGCCCACACGCTGGGACTCCCGGCTGAGGAGAGTAGCCCAGGGGAGGCTGGAGCAGGCCCTCGGCCGCTGTGGGTCAGCTGGCAGCGTGAGGAGCAGAGCCTCTAGTCAGGCCTGCGTGGATGCCCCTTTCCAGTGGGCCACTCACAACCTTGGGTACACGTTACAGGGAGACTCCATGACAAGGCGCCTGGCCCATAGGGAGTTCCTTCGGTGGACGTACATTGGCTGCTTTAACTAATAGTAATCCTCCGAAAAGCTGTCACAGCCATGATACTTTTCCTGTTTCCCAGATGAAGTATCAAAACCAAGGCCGCCAGATCAGGGGCCCATCCCCTTTTATTCTTTCCATGTCCTCCAGGTGCCTCCCCTGGGCCCTGCCCGCCTTTAGTCTTCCCAGAGTGAGCCGTGTCCTGCAGGTGGGCAGACACCTGATAGGGCTGCAGTGGAGCAGGGCTGGCCTGGGGGTGCTGAGCCTTGGGACACAGGTGCAGGACGCCCAGCTGGAGGACAGAGAAAAGGGCCTGGTGAGGCCGGGGTGGTGACGGTGGGAAGGGGCTGGGAGAGGTCAGTGTTAGGGCCATGCTCTGAGGCTTGCCTGCCAGGCCAGGAGTTTGAGCTGTCAGCTCTGAAGCATCCTTGCCTCTTCAGCCTCCTGTCACATAGGCTTGGAAACCAAGGCCCAGAGAGGCGGCAGCTCAGCTGTGTCCTCCCTCCCATGGTGCTCCTGTGTGTGTCTGCCCCCCCACACACACACCCACGCTGTGTCTCCTTGGCAAGAGGGTGCACAGGTGGCCATCGGGGTGGTCACTGAGGGGCTGTGGAGTGTAGTGATCAGGGGACCAGGGGACCAGGGTCCCAGGCCCAGCTGTCTGCCCTAAGCAAATAGCCCAGCTCTCTGGGATTTAGTTGGACCAGTGAAGTGGGCTGAGGGGCAAGTGTGCAGAATATTCAGGAGCAGGCCGGCCCAGCGGCCTTCAGTGATGAGGTGTCGAGGCTGGTGGGTCCAGGTCCTGGGCACTGAGTGGGGTAGACCGCCCTCCCCTGCCTCCCCAGCAACACTGGTCATGGGGAATGCCCTCCCCAGGCTTATAGACCAGAGACACCTAGGCAGCAACAAAGGGCCTGTTTGAGAGTGCTTTGAAGAGAAGCTGTTGTTGTGGGGGGACCTGGCATCTCCAGTGACTCTGCCTTGACGTTTGCGTGACCGGTGATGACCAGGCCACTCCTCTCAGGAGTGCTGTTCTGAGGAGCCAGGCACGGAAACGGCCCAGTAGGGAGGAGGCAGAGGAGGTGGCAGGAAAGGCCTGGGCCTTCCTGCCGTGCCCTGGCTTCAGTGTTCTGGCAGGGGGTGGACGCTGGTTTCTGGTGGCCTTTCTAGCTGCTGCTCTGTGCACTAGCAGTTACTACCCCCCCACCCCACCCCGGCCCACAGTGAGAACCCCCTACCCACGGTGGAGATTGCCATCCGGAACACAGGTGATGCTGACCAGTGGTGCCCGCTGCTGGAGACTCTGACGGACGCCGAGATGGAAAAGAAGATCCGCGACCAGGACAGGAACACAAGGTACCCCTGACCCCCCCCAGGCTCCCTACAGCTGGCTCTGCCCAAAGGTGACCTGGTTTCTGGGAGGGTACCGAGTTGCCAGAGGCAGGCCCCTGAGTGGTAAGTCCCAGTCTAGCCCCTGGGTGGGTTTCCCTGCCGGGAACAGAACTAAGCCCTCAGGTTGGGTCTGACCACAGCCCAGACCTGCGTGTCTGGAGCCCTGGAGAGGTAGACAGGACCTGAGCAAGCTGGAGAGAGGGCAGCCTCAGGGCCTTAAGCAGCAGACAGGCTCAGAGCAAGCAAGGGGCTGGGGACCCCGCCCCTTTCCATGTCCTGTCTCTGTCCCCACTCCCCTGGCTGCACTAGAGATCCCCGGGGGATCTGGGTCACCGCCTGCTCTCCTCCTGCAGGCGTATGAGGCGTCTTGCCAACACTGCCCCAGCCTGGTAACCAGCCCATCGGTGCATGGCTCCCACGGAGCGTTCAGAAGATCGGACCACCTCTCCTTCATCTTCTGGAAAGGAGGGCGGCCAAGGGGGCAGGCCGGGGCCATCCTGAGAAGCATGGGGTGTGGGGAGGGCTTCCACTCACCCTTCCCTGGGCACACATTCCATTTGTTGAGCCCCAGTCCCCACCCAAGTCTCTGGTCAGAAAGAGGCCTCGTTTTTGGGTTGTGTTTTGTTTTTGTATAGGAGCCCCAGGTAGGGCTAGCAACACTTTTTAAATAAAGACAACAGGTCATGTTCCATTTTTTCAAAGTGGTAGCATAAAAATAGAGGGGACGAGGAGCAGGGTCTGGCTTGGGTGGTGTGTGGCCAAGGTTGGCATGCCAGGCCTCTCGCCCTCCTGGGCCTCGGAACCCCAGCTGGGCAGGTTGGGGCTGATACGGCTGCAGCCAAGGCCAACGGCAGCACAGTCGTGCATTCCTCAGGCCCGCCGCCCGCCACCTGTGCCGTCCTCGTACCGACGGACAGAATTGAGGTCACGAGGCTCAGAGGGCAGGAGGCCCGCTTACCTTGCAGTGACAGCCCCGCCCCGCCCCCTTAGCTTGGCCTCGCGAAGCCGCTTAGGCTTTCCTGCTGTCTTTGGGCTCTGCTGTGTCCAGACTGTTGTCGCGCCCCCCCCCCCCCCCCGGAGCATTGCTTCTCTGGAGTCCCTTGCAGCAGCCATGTCCTTCGTGGGTGCTCCGGGGGTGTCAGCAGCCTGGGTGCCCGAGGGCCCACGCCTGGCTGTTCCAGCTGCACCCCGGCTGGTGCCATGGGCCAGGCCAGCCCTTCTCTCAGGCCGGGTGAGCAGTGAGGCGCGCGGAGCAGCACACCTGCCTAGGGCCGGCCGTGGGGGGGATGTGGTGTGTCGAGGAGGAGGCATCGCCCTGGGCCTCTCCTCAGCTCTGCCTCCAGTGAGCTGCTTGCCCCGTCTGCATCCTTGTCTCATGTGGAAGTGTCCCCACTCTACAGAAGGGATGTGGGCTGCGTGAGGGTGGCATGTGTGGGTCTCCTCGCGGAGCCGAGCAGCGCTTGGTGAGTTGGGCACACAGCTGCAGTCTTACCGAAGAGAACAGACCCCCAGCTCTGGGCTGGTGCCTTCAGGTGCTGCTAGGTCTTCGCTGTCAGGTTAGGGCTGCTCTGCTCCCCAGGAGCATGGCAGGAGCATGATGCCACCTGGCTTCCAACCTGAGCCCCACACTGGCCAAGGGCAGAGCTCTTGAGTAGGAATTGGGGTCTTGATTACCAGGATAATAGGGGTAGATGGGCCGGGCCCTCTGGGCTGGGGGTCCTATGATCATGTCCTGGGACATGACGGCTCCTACCTCCCAGGGAGTTTGTACTCAAGCCCCTTGCCCTTCATCCAGGAGTGCAGCTTGCTGGAGCTCCACAGCAAGGAGATGGTTGGGCTTCACTGGAAGGCCCTGAACAAAGAGGAAGACTCCAGGCCCAGGCTCCGCTGGCCTTGGAGACAAGTGGGCTCCATTGCTGAACGGTTTGCTTGGTCCATGTGCCCCTACAACTGGTGGGATGGAATGAAACTGCCCACCTCAGCCCCTCTGGGCAGGCCAGCCCACCAGGCCCGCCCAGAGGCTGAGCCCTCACTTGGCGCACTGCTGCAGAGCCAGCTGCGACTCCACGCGGTTTCCCTTCAAAATTAAGGTCAGACTCCATGGTGAATATTTAGGCCATCCGTGAATGTGACAGCCTGCAGCTGGAGGAGCCCCTATGCTGCTTATCATCCAGGAATAAAACAGAGTTCCGACTGGTCTAGGGCAATGAGGAAAGTTGGTCAGGGTGTCTAGTGCCCGCTTTACCAAAGAAAAAAGTGAGCTGTGGGATCAGATCAGGCTCCCATGGTTCTCAGCTAAAAACATAAGGGAGAGAGCTTTGTAGAACTCTGCCAAGATGAAAACTTCTCAAAGCTTTGGGATTGCAGAAAGGGCAGAGGACCTGGTCCTGGCCCTCTGCCGCACCTGACCCCATGGAGCCTTGGCCAAGTCCATTGACTGCTCAGCTGGAAAGTGGGGCAAAGGTCCACTTGTTGCCACTAAGGGACAGGAGGAGCCAAGTGAGGCATCAGCCTGAGGGTACCACGGGCAGGAGCCCCTGCAAACTGGGCTTGGCATGACAGGGACATCCCAGTCCTGGCCCCAGCCAATGAGACCTGGCCAGCCCCCTGCTGCCTGGCCCGGAGCAGAGATCAGTGCAGGTAGGATTTGCCCAAGGCTCCATTAAGGCATTGGCAAAGCTGGAGTGAGAACCCCGAGTATGCCATCTGTGAGCTCAAAGCTGCTGGGCAACTGTGGGCAGGTTCTTGACCCCCTCTGGGCTTCCCATCCTACCACCTACAATTGGTCTGAGAGGGCAGACCAGGCTTGGTGGCCCTAGATCAAGGCCAGTAACACCTGCCCAGCGTGGAAGGATGTGGCCAGCCAAGGCAGGGAGCCAGTGCTGTGGGCAAAGAGACGCAGGTCATTCTGTTTATTTGGGTGGGCCCTGGGCACCAGCCCAGTCTCCAGGACAGGTTGCTCTCCTGTAAGCGGGAGTTAGGGGTGGAATGGAGGCCTACCAGAGGCCAGGAAAACAGGCCGCTGGGGTTGGGGCTGGCCTTGGCCCTGGGTAGGGTCATTGCTGCAGGGGTCCTGGCTGCTCCTCTGGGAGGGGCAGGTAATCGGGGTCCTCCTGTGGGGCATCCAGTAGCAGCTTCCTGTAGGGAGGGGCCCATGCTGAGCTGAGGCCAGCAGGCATCCCCACTGGTATAGGAAGCCATCTGAGGGAGGGCAGCGGGAGAATTGTCATCTCTAGCACTCACAGGAAGCTGGGGGTCAGCAGCAGCCTCTTGCCTCCAGGTTGGTTGGGGAAGACATCCTCTAGGAAGTAGTAAATGTGGCCCACAGCAATCCCTGTAGGAGAGCCATGAATGGCTGAGGCCACTCTCCACAGTCCAGAGCCTGAGGCCAGCATAGCCTGCTCCCTGCCTCCAGTCACAGTTCCGGAGGCACAGTCAGGCCAGGCAACCTCAGGCCCCAGAGTATGAGCCCAGTGTTCTGCACAGACTGCCAGCCCCCACCCCAGGGTGGGAGAGCAGGGTTGACCCTGAAGGACAGGCTTACCTGGCCCAGAAGTGGGCAGGACCTGGGGAGGGGAGGGCCTGAGAACAGGGGAGGAATAGAGCCAAGGCTGCGAACTTGACACACCTATCCCCACCCTGGTCAGGACCCACATGGGCATCAGTACACCGAAGATGGGGAGCCTGTAGCTGGCTGGCTTGTTCAGGGGCCAGAACAGAGGAGCTAGCAGGGCAGGAAGGGGGGGGTGGGAGGACAGGTGAGAGGTCCAGTGCGGGTGGGAGGGAGGGCTCTGGCACAGCACACAGGCCTGTCTGGGGAGGGCAAGTGCACAGGCAGGCTCACCCAGCAGGTCCACGAGAATCGAGTTGCCCAGCAGCAGAGAGAATCCCATGAGTGCCCAGGGCAGGAATGGTGCCTGGAAGGTGAGGAGGCCGAAGAAGTTGACCCTCACTCGGGGGTTTCGGCGGCTCCATACATACACCAGCATGACTGTGAGGGCCTGGCCCAAGAAGAACAGGCTGCCCAGGAGCCCTAGCAGCTTGAGCCAGAGTCAAGGTGCTGGAGGCCTTCTGGTGCAGGCCTCAGAGCCCCTGCCCAGGACACCTCTGACTTGCGAGCCCCCTGGAATCCTCCCTAGTTTCCCTTCCCTCATCACCCCTATGTGCCATTCCAATCAAAGGCCACACTTCAGGCCCCCCGTGATCTGCCCTGCTTGTCCACCGCGCCCCAGCCTCCAAACACTGCCGTCATTGCCCCAGTTTCTCCTGGCTACTGGCATGCAGGGTACGCAGCCAGTACCCCACCTGGCTCTCCTGCACATCACCCTGTGGTATTTTGTGTACAGCACTGAAAAGCTGGCGCTGACCTCCGGAGCTGAGCACACGATGTACGCTAAATACATCCTAAGCTGGAGTGAACTACTCTGTCCCTCCCCGGCCCGGGCGCTCATGTCAGGCCCCAGGGCCAGCACAGGCTGGCCCCAGAGGCGCTGCGGCCTGAAGTTTCAGAGCCCGGGAAGGATACGGTCATGAGGACGCCCCCGAAGAGAAACATGAAGACGAAGTCGGCTGTGCGGCCGCGGAAGGAGCCCTCCTCCAGCATGCGGCAGTAGCGGAACCTGCGGCCTCCGTAAAGGAAGTGTCACAGGGCGGAGCCTCAGTTTCCCCACTCCGGGCCGCCCTCCAGCCCCGCGAGCCGCCCACCGCCCTACGCCTGGGTCCGCGCGGGGCAGGATACACGAAGAGCATGTTGAAGAAGAAGCTGAATCCCAGGGGCCCGAAGAAGAGGAAGTTGGTGACGAGCCTCCAGACCTACGGAGATGGAGGGAAGGCAGGAGGTCAGGCGCAGGGCAGGCAGGGCCTGTCAGGTGCAATGGGTGGGGCCGCCTCACCTGGAACTTCCGGAACACGAGGTGCGGGTTGAAATAGAGCTGGAAGGGGCTGAGGAGCTCCAGTTGCTGCGGAACCAGGGGCGCGTCAGGTGCTTCCCCCGGGAATCCAGCGGTAACCATGACGACACCCCTCCCGGGCTGCAGCCATGGAGACACCCCCGCCCGCCCGGCCAGCTTACCACAGCAGCGGTGGTAAGGACGCAGGCCGCGGTATAGGCCCGCGTCACCGCGGGCACCTGCAGGAACTCGGCCGTCAGCCCCTGCCACGCCATTGAAACTTCTCTGACACGCGTGGCGCAACCTGCTGCACGCTCTTTAACCCGCCTCCAAACCCCGCCTCACTCCCGAATTCGGCCAATCCGCGTCGGAGGCGCAGCGCGCTCAGGGCCGAGGGAGGGGCCCTGGGCCCGGTAACCAATAGGAGGAGGAAGCGGGAAGCCGAGGGCGGGACAGGGGAGTGGGCGGCTCGGGACTCGGGACCAAAGAGCAGGCCCCACAGGTGAGCACGTGGCGGTTGTTGTGATGGCTGTCGTGGTGGCGCGGGAGAACGTGTGGCCAATGAGGAACGGGTCGCTTCGCGGCAAGCTAGAGAGAACCAACAGCAAGGACCCACAAGACTTTGGGGGCGGGGCTAAGATTACTCCGAGAGTGAAGATGAGACGGGACCGAGTAACTGAGACCGGAAGGGGCGGGGTCACCCTGGGGCGTGGGCAAGGCGGGACCAATGCGAGTCTGGTCTGGAGGCTCTGTGAGGCCCCCTGGGGCGGCAGCGACTCGGTCCGGTCTTTCTCCCCTACTGAGAGCCAATCAGTGCCACCTGGCCCACAACAGAGGAGGCGCTCAGCACTGTGTCCAGCCACCCCCCACCCCCGCCGCGGTCCACTTCACCGCGCGCGGACTCCTGCGGGGAGTCTTCCCAAGGACCCCAGAGTGCCGACACTGGCCAGAGCAAGTGGGCGGCCTGGAGAGGGCCTCATCGTTTCTTTTTTTTGAAAGATTTTATTTATTTATTTGACAGAGACACAGAGCAGGAACACAAGCAGGGGGAGTGGGAGAGGGAGAAGCAGGCTTCCCCTCGAGGAGGGAGCCCGATGTGGGGCTCGATCCCAGGACCCTGGAACCATGACCTGAGCCGAAGGCAGACGCTTAACCGACTGAGCCACTCAGGCGCCCCAGGGCCTCATCATTTTGATGGAAAAGAGAAACTCCGTTTATTCATTCATTAAGTCAACCTTCAACACAGACTGTGCTTTTCTGGATGTGGGAGATACAGCAGCCAAGAAAAGATGAGAAGACAGGCAGTCATAGGCCTGTACTAATATGAGAGCTGGTGTTCACAGGACAGTGAACTGATGCAAATAATGCCAAGAGTGGAGGGTTGGGTAGTGAGCCATCACTGTAGATGGGGTGATCTGGGAAGCCTCTGTGAGCAAGTGACACTTGACTGTCACTTTAAAGATGTCCCTGTGGCTGCTGCAAGGACAGTAGACTGTCAGAAGAATCCGGGAGCAGGGGGAGGCGGCAAGGCACGTGGTGGCTTGGGCAGGGTGGAGCCTGGAGAGTGGGGGAGGGGTGGGAGGTGGGTTTGCCCATGGATGGGACAGAGCTGTGAGAGAGGAACCAAGGGTGACTTGACTGTCTGAGCCACAGGGCGGATGGAGGGTGGTGGCCTTTACTGAGATGAAAAACGCTTCGGGAAAAGGCAGGCAGATGGAATCCCATTCTGGCCTTGTTGAGTTTGGGGCATCTGTGTGACATCCACCTGGAGAAATCCAAGGGTGGTGTTGGGGGAGAGATTGGCCAGGCAGTCCAGTTGTGGATGTCAGTCCTCAGTAGGCCAATGGAATTTGTAGTCTTGGGCCTGCATGAGGGGTCCAAGGAGCAAGGCTAAACGGAGAAGAGAAGAGGCCCCGCCTGGGCAGCTTACCCTTCCACAGTCAGAGAAGGCAGACCTGGCCAGGGAGGCCAGGGGAGGCTGGAGAGGGCTTCCAAGAGCTGAGCCAAGAAAGAGCTTCAGGAGCAAGGCAGTGAGAAGCTCACAGAGATGAGGCCTGGGAACAGACAGTGGGATGCAGCCATGCCAAGGCCCCTGTAACCAGGATTATGGAGGATAGGAGGGAGAGGAAGGTGTCCACAACAGATGTGCCTTTACCAACATGGGGAGCTCAGGTGTGGACGTAAGTGTAGGAGATGCAGCATGCCCTGGACAGGGCCCTGAAGTCCCCCGAGGAGATTGGAAAGGCCGAGAACCAGCTGACAAAGTTATCTCAGGTGGATCCTAAGAAAACAAGGGTGCTAAAAGGGGTTCCCTAGGGAGTGGCTCAAGGAGTCCCCAGGGGAGGGGAGGGAGAGGCTGGAAGCATTGAAGGGGGATGTGCATTTGGCTCTGGAGTGAGAACAGGTCTGGCCTGATACAGGGGGAATTGGACCAATGTGCTGAGAGTTCGGGTGGTGGGAGCCCCCCCCAGCCCCCCCCTCCCCCCCGCTGGCCTCCATTTTCCAGCGAATCAGGCCAAGGTCATGTTTGAGGTGGGCCCCGCAGAGTAGATCCCATCAGGTGGAGGCAGGGCAGCAGGGTGGGGATGCAGAGCCTCAGACGCCAGAGCTGGCGCCTGCCATTCATGAAAGCCATCCAGGGAGGTCAGGTTTCATGTCAGCATGGGTAAGTGGAGGTTATTCCTGCCTCCAGGCACCCAGCAAGCTCTGGGCCCTCCACTCAGGGTCAGGCCGGGGCTAATAGGAGGGGCTGTCATTGCAGACAGGGGCATCTGTCTCCCCTTTGATTGGGGCCGATAAGGCAGGCGCCTGGCTTGGGGACGGAGAAGCACATTCCCCGGGAGGCCGGGATAGGTGGGGACTGCCAGCTGAATGGGACATCCAGGGGAACAGTGGCTGGATTCCACTGCAGATGCTCCCTCCTCAGAAGCCTGGGTATTCTCAGATGGGGAAACTGAGGCCCGGCAGGAGGCCCAGCAGAGCCTGAGGCAGATCTCCGTCACCAGTCCAGGCTTTTCCTGTCCGGTGTCAGGCCCAGGGCAGGTCCACTTCTCTGACTCAGGCACCTGCAGACAGTTATTTATGGAGAGAAGCCCTGGACACCCCACGGTCCCAGGGGCCTAGAGATGTAGGTAGGCAGTGTGCCGGATGCTAATGTCTATTTGCCTGCCCGTCCTAAGCAGGCAGACCTGCCAGCTGGGCCCACCCTCCCTCCTGGGCTGAGGATGTGGCTGAAGGAGGGCCTGTGGTCCCTGGGCAAGGTGACAATGAGCCCTGCTCCTCAAGCTGCCTCTCGGGCCTTGCGGTGTTTTCCTTTTGACATAAACATGCCCCTTTCTGACCCTGGGCCTCCTCCGTCGGGGGCTTTTCCTCAGGGGCTGTGAGCTCAGTGCCCACCCACTTCCAGCACATGGACCCCAAACTGCAGTGGAAAGGCCTCCCCCGCCACCGCAGCAGCTCCAGCCAGCCCCTCCCAGGAGCAGCTGTGTCCCTGTTGGCCCTTCCTGTCTGGGTCATGGGGTATTTTTAGCACCGAATCCGGAACCTACGAGGCTGCAGCTGCTCATGGCCAGAGTGCAAGAACAACAAACTGTCCAGGTGGGCTGTGTCAGGCCTGGGCCTGGCCCTCTGAGCTTGATAGCAGATTCCAGACTTTCCAGGAATCAGCAGGTCTCTGGGGTGGATGGGAAGGGAGGAAGCAGTTTGGGGCAGAGGATGAGTAACATGAGCCAGGCCCATCAGGGGATCAGCCTGTGCAAAGGTCCTGAGGTGCCATGGTGAGGGTGCAGAGAGAAGAAGGCATCGCAAGGAGGGGCTGTGTGCAACATGAGGCTGAGCAGGGCTGTGTAGGCTGCGGTCTCCGTCCCAAGGGCAATGAGGAGCCCTCAGAGTGTTCAGCATGGTGGTGGGTGACGATCAGATGGCAGCTCTCGGGAGGAAGGAGACAAGAATAGAAGCGCTCATCTGAGTGGAGGAAGATGGCAGCGGCCTGCAGTAGGGGTGAGTGACAGAGGGAGTGAAAGGGTCAAGGAGGTGGAAGCCACAAACCTTAGTGAGTGATTGGCAGACAGGTGAGCGTGGGTTTCTGAGGGAGACCTCCCACTGGCTTGGGACAGGTCAAGTCTGGGGTGCTGTGGGACATGACCACCTTAGGGAAGCCCTCCCTGGCCACCCCAGCTTGGTCCTCCCAGCACCTTGTCACTTAGAATGCGCCTCACACCCACAGACGTGCTGCACCATGCTCTCTATCCCCGGAAGTCCCCAGTGACCTTTGAGCCTCGAGAAGGCTGAGACCTGTGCTAGAGGGCTGGCACTGAGACCTGACTCCGCCAGGTCCCCACCCTGGGCCTCTGTGTCCCGGTCTGTGAAATGGGCTGGTGGGAAGAGCCCATCTGTACAGCCTCCTTCAGCTGTAGTCTGTCCTACTGTGGCAGGGGGGGCGGTAATCAGATTTCTGGGCAGGGGCCCCTTCCTGTGACCCAGTCATGGCTGCCCCTCCTCCAAGGCTGGTCTCTGCCGTGAAAGAGCGAGAATGCACCAAGGCAGGACTCTGTCCCCGACGCTGGTTTTCTCGCCTGCCTCCTCCTGGCCCAGAGCTCTCACAGAGCTGCAGTGGAGAACATTCCTGGAGGCCTCAAGGGCCTGGGAGGGAGGCAGCAGGGTCTGGCTCCGGTGGGGTTGTGGAAGAAAACCCAGACATCATGCAGGGAGAGGACAAGAGTTGTGGTGGGGAGAATAGCTTGAGCAAAGGTGTGGAGGCATGAAAGAATCCATGTCTCGGGGCTCCTGGGTGGCTCAGTTGTTAAGCGTCTGCCTTCGGCTCAGGTCATGATCCCAGGGTCCTGGAATCGAGCCCTGCGTCGGGCTCCCTGTTCAGCAGGGAGCCTACTTCTCCCTCTCCCACTCCCCCTGCCTGTGCTCTCTCTCTCTCTCATTCTGTCAAATAAATGAATAAAATCTTTAAGTTAAAAAAAAAGAATCCATGTCTCATGGGGAAGGCAAGGACAAGTGGGGGCCTGAGAGCCAAGGTTGATGCCAGTCACCATAGTCAGAACAGCTGTTCGGTGACCCCTCACCAGATTCTGCACCCCTCACTTAAGCCCGGGTTCCTGGACCCAGTTCTGATGCGTGTGTGGGGGGGGATGTGTATGTGTGTGTTCAGGCTTCCCCACACCAACAAGCAACTCAGACACCAACAGGGTGTCCAAGAATTCAGCTCAATTCTGACACTCTACCCTGAGATAGCATCAGATTCCACAGGTTAAGGGCTCAGTCCCCCCAAGACCGCCCCCCA